AACTCGGCAAAGTCCCGCTGACCACCCATGGTGTGCCTGCGGCGGATATTGCTTTTCCGTTTACTTCGAGTCTCGGGGGACCTGGTGCGCTGGGAACCCACCCCGAACATGTCGTCAGCTGATGTCCGCAGTCGGCATTTCAACCGGTCGGTGATTTTGATTCGCCACATGGGTTCGACGCGCTCGGATTCGCTGCGAGAGGAAGAGCTAAGACTACCGGTGGAACGGCCCTTGACTGCATCCAGGACTCGTGATAGTCGACAAGACTCCTTGTCGCTTCTGCTCCCATCTGCCGAAGACTCGCTGTCGGTCTTCTGCCGACTCCCCCTCTTGCGTGCCAGGGTATCGCATGCGATGATTCGATGGGAGGGGATGAGGTTTGGTACATCCTGCGAAGGTGTGACACCGCCCTCCAGTTGGACGCTATCTTCAGTTGGCCCGCTTTCTCGGCCACCGGCAAAGACTGATAAGTCGCTCTCACTGTCAGTCTCCATTGGCCGTCCCTCACTGATGAGTTCACTTCTTTCATCGTCAGCATCATCACCGCGACTTTCGGCAACAGACTGCACCTCTGGACTGAGGGCAACGGACTCCACCCCTGTGTGGAAAGTCATGGAGGAGGTGGTGGAGTAATCTGATGTGATAGAGCAGACTTCTGCTCCTGGCCCCATTCCTGTATTCTCCATCCAGTGGCCGGGGGTTCTCCCGTGCCTCATCCTTGGTACGGACGCCTGGGAACTGGTGCTGTTAAGTGTGCCCAGATCTGAGACACAACCATCATCATAGTTGGAGGGAGGATCGGACAGGGAACTTTGGCGAGTCAACTGCATGTGATAACTAGGTTTGGGTGATGAAATGATTTTCGGTGAGGGACAAGTTTGTCGGGGCAAGTGTTCAGAGATGAGCTGCTTGTTTTCAGAAGTGAGGTCAAGACTCTCTCCTGGGCTTTGGTCATCATCCTCAGTCCTTTCTATTTGGTCATCGAGCCCAACTTCACTCTCAGCATCTTCGGTTTGATCATCAGCAGGCCAATTTGGATCATTTTGCACTGGAAGATTCATTTTGGAGAAACAAGCATCCAGGTCATCATCGGAGCTGCTTGGCTGAGGCTTGTCCTTGGGCTTTTTGCGTTTGCGGCTAGCAAAGATGGAAGAACGCAACAGATCTCTACTATATTGATCCTTACCAGATCCCCAGGAACCCTGCTACAGAACCAAGCACAAAAAGAAAAGTGTAAGTATACAACACATTGTGATCTATCCAACATTTTAGTGAATTGACTTTTGAAGCAGGAGTCCTCTCCTCTTTCATTGTAATTATCTCAAGAGAAACCCAGCAAACACAAAACGTTCCCCTAATGTTCCCGAATGGTCCCATGAGGGGTTTTTTTTGGGAACCAAACAAGAACGTTATAGGAACGTTCCATGTAGGTTATTAACACTTATTCCCTTAACCTTAAGGGTAAGTTCTAGGAACGTTCCGGGAACCAAAAACTAACGTTCCCAGAACCTAAATTTATTTGCTGGGAAGTACTCACCTTTGATTTGGCAGAGTCACTGGTGGTTGAATCTAGTGGAACAGGGAGAGAAAAGGGTAAGTAGGCCATTTCATGTGGAATACAGAGGGGTCAAAGAGCCAGAGACAAGGGGAAGCTGAAATATAAATATCCTTCACCACAACAGCAGCGGAACAGCACAAACAGTGGAGTTATGTAGAGATCCGAGAGATGAAGGCGACACACTTAAGCCATCAAACACAGAGAAATGGAGGAAAGAGGAATGAGTGATGACAAGAACCCAGCAGTGTGCAGTAAGACAGGAGGCAGTTCATGCACACATTCACACAGATAGACAGCCTGTTCACAGTGAGACCGCCAATTACTGACACGCACACATACACACACACAGCCAGCAGAACGTATCTACAGGCATTCTTTCCCAACTCAAACAGACATAGCTGTAAGGATGTCTATCCCTGCCTTGGTTACGGATAGGGGACGAGAGCTGTAATAAATCTGGTCGGAAACTGAATATTGCTGCTATTTGAAAAAGGCTAAGAACGCTTAAATATTTACTTTCGTAAACCTACATTAGATGGCTATACTGCATCGGGTTTATATGCTTGATCCATGCACATTTTGTCCCTCATTCACTTGGAAACATAAAATGTTTGATTATGTTTAGGATGTTAAGTTTTGTGTTTTTGTAACCTACTATGTATTTCATGGCATTTTAGTAATTGACCTATGGCTAAGCCACGCCCCCTCCACTCACTCGGACACACAGTCAACATTCGGGGAGAGGTGCTGTGGCAGCCGTCACAGTAGAAGACATTTCACAGGAGGCAATTGGTGATTTTTGGAGACAGAAAGATTATATATCATCTTGAAGTCACCTAAAGTGTCTTAATGCATTGGAGGGTTATATTAATAATTTTATTGTTGAGAAGGTCGATGAAAAGCTTCAGCTCCAGGCAAAAATGTACAGGTCACAGTGTAAACGTGATAAACCGCATATCGTTGCCATCACCGTTTGGTGCTACAGTATTTATATGAATCATTCAGCACAACATTGTTAACAAGGATTATTTGTTATCTCGGTTATTTACAGATACGTTAATGAAGATAAGTGACATGATGTACAATGCAGCTAGAAGCTAACGTTAACGTTTTCTAATGTTAGGCTAACGCTATGTTAGAGATTTTAAAGATAACATTCAAATACGTTGTTGACTTAACTTAGATCAGATGTAGACATCCTTGTTTAATTTATCCGCGTTTAGTCGGTGTTGTGGTCTACCGCATAACTTAATCCAGAGCAGACACTTATCTCGGTTGAGATGTGGCTTGGGAAAGGGTAAAAAAATACACACCCGTCGCCCAGCCTCTCGGGAATCTAGTGTCGGAGTTGCATGTACCCCATGCACACCGTTTGACCATTTTAAACTTAAAATAACAAGAAAAAAAACTAATGAAAACTGACTAACTGCAATGCATTTCAATGGACGTGGAAGCAGAGATCATAGACATATACACTAGACCTCACCTTGGATACAGCAGTTCATTAGAACAAATGCGTCAATAGAGCCGCCATCTTGAAACAGGGGAGCCCCTCCACTTTAATGCATCAGCGTCAATGTAGTAGACACAGGTCTAACGCAAATAAAATCACCATAAATCATCATGAATGCGATTTTTCTTGTTTTTTTGGTTTGTTCCAACGTTCAGACATGCATTTATCATTGATTCCAAAAAGAAATTTTTTTTTATTTTTAAAAAAAAAAACATTCTTCCTAGTTCAGATTTCATCCGTGAACATCATACGCTGCACAAAAGTCCGCCACCATCAATGAATTCGAAGTAAAGGCAGAGATAGCAGCCTTACCTAGCTACTTCCTATGACAAGACCCCTGTTCCAAGATGGCGGCGGTTTTGACGCATGCTTAGAACCCCAAGGTGAGGTCTAGTGTATATGTCTATGAGCAGAGATGTCCAAGTGTATTGGGTTAGCTGCGCACCGTGATTGGCTCATCGCGTTTGAGGGCGTGGCTTAGCCATAGGTCAATTGGAAGGCAATATGTGGTTATAGAAGTGAAGTGCACAGCAACGATTAGCTCACTAACTAATTGCGACAAGTTTAGATATCAGAAGTTTAAAATGAAGGATAATACGTTTTTTTTTTGTTTTTTTGTACGAGACAGGCAGAGATGTGAAGTTGTTGTGGAGTAAGGAACATTTTAAAAGGATGTTTACACTGGAGGTCGCCACGTAGCGGTACTGTGCTCCGCTAGTCCGTCTACTGAGGTGAATTACACGACCTCCAGAGTCTGCTCTTTCATTAGTTGTCGCCACATCACGTCTGATTTTTTCATGAGAAGTTACAGCAGCTACACAGGACCTGAATGGTGCCACGGCAAATTGCACCAGTCTGAATGTTTGAATGTTTACAAGTAAAATCAGTCACTTGGGGAATCGTATCTGTGTTGAACTGTATCAGCTTTTGGGTGCAGAACATGGAGATGCAGAATGACTTAAAGCACTGAGAGACTATGACAAGGGACAACAAGGGTCAAATATGACAGGAGGGCAGAAAGGGGCTAAAAGGGCCAAAGCTATAAGGTGGTAGAGCAGCTACGAGGAGGAAGCAAGTTACTACTTCACCACTCAAAAGCCCCTTTGCTCACTCTCCATCAGAGATACGAATGGTTTTGAATGGTATGAGATTCAACGGGAGCTTTATGATTTAAGCCGGCTCAGCCCCTCACCACACCCCTTCAGACATCATCAATGACAGTTACTGTATGTCACATGACTGGAAGAAATCCTGGAGACCATACCATGCTAGAACTCCATGCGGTCAGCTTCAGAGACAACGAGAGACAGCAAAGAGGCTTTTCAGACACATTACACCATCACAGCTCTGTATCCTCTCTGTTAATAATAGTCTTATAAGATATGAAACGTGCAACACGACGATGACAAATATCAACTTCTCTGACACTCTTTTTTTGTTTCTTTTGTTTTCTGGTGGGGGTTTGTCCCGGATTCACTTTCAATTTATAAGAATCTGGGATTTCTGCAGACTAGGCAGCTACACTGGGGACAACACTCCTCCTTCTTCCTACAGTCCCAGCTGTCCATCACAGACATTACAGAGTCCATCAGTGACATCACCGAGTGATAGACGCCGCCCACTTGGCCTGTGTTAAGATTGGGTAATGTGTGAGCAGTGCTGGACAGGGACAAGGGAGAAGAAAAACACTAGAGACAAGATGGGTCAGACGGGTAAACCTTTGGTGGTTTATCATTGATTTTTTCCATTTCTTTTGGGAAAGAACATGCCAGGTTAGCACAGGAGAAGGGGAAGGAGAAAAAAGAACTGAAAGAAAAGGAGGAGTGGAGTCATAACAGAGACTAAAGCATTAGGGAGGGATGGCAATGAGTGAGGTTCAAACCAATACAAACCAAAGCAAAAGGAGAATTCTGGAGAAATCATACAATTGAAATAAGGACAACTAGTCAAAAACAATGGCTGAAGGTAAAGAAAATAAATCAATGAATTTAGATTGATTCATAAGCTTCACAAACAAGGAACTATTTTATCCAATTTTTCAAACAGCTCATCAAATACGTTTGACCAATGCAAAATTGCTAAAATAGTTCACCTGTACATATGCAACAATACATTTCTGCAAAGCTTGCTTTTGTTTGCTCTAAACATTGACAGATCTAAATGAGTATCAAGCATGAGTATCTGCTATTCATCTGAAATATACTAAGAGAGTGAAAACACACACACATACACACACACCTAACATCTGAACACTCTGAATGTTTCAATTAATATCCATTCTTCTAAACTCATATCCCTGACCTGGAACTGTTGGACTATGAGGGCAAGATTACCTGAGACGTCACCGGGCGATGGAGCAGTGCGGCCAATGTTGGTCAGCAGATGGTCAATGTTGGGCACAGGCTGAGACTGAACGGTGCTCTCTTGCTCCATGGTGGTCTGGCATGCACATGGAACGAGAGGTACAAATTCATGTCACTGATACTGTATGAGGCATGTCGAAAACATTAAGTGCAGTCTTGAGCATGTGCATGTATGAGCTTTGCCAAACATTTTCATTTAAAACCGATTTGAAACATCGTTCTCAAAGCAAAGACTGTGTATCGTGAGGAGTGGCAGCTTCGACCGCCATGTAAACCATGCAAATGCTTGGGGCCTCAGTGGGTCCACAAGTGACAATAAATCCACGTGTTCGTCAATTTCTTGTAGGTTTACTGTCTGTTACTGCATGAAAGTGAAGAGCAGAAAATTGTGGAATTGGTTAGTTTATTAGATGATTTAGTATTCAGCTTTTTGAAAGACAAAGCAAGTTTGTATTTAGTAGCAGTGGATTTCACTCAAGGACCAGTACCACAGCCATTTAAAGAAGAAGCACTGTATGACCTGTGCACTGTACGCTTTAAGTTAAAGTGGCTCTCTTTGATTCTGCATGAAGATGCAAAGCCGCAAGAAGCCTTATTAAAGTAAGCTTCGCACTTGCCTAGTATCAGATGTACCTGTAATGCAGCTTTTGTTCTGTAGAAAAGGAATAATGCATCAGGTCTGAACTCTGCTTAGGGTCTGAAGAATTATAAATCTGCCCTCGTAAGAGAGAAGGCAGTCCTTCGATGTTGTCTGGGATGAATTTGCTCTACAAAAGCAATGTGGCCATTTAAAGTAGTAGTTCACTTTAAAAAAAATTTTTTTTGCTGATAATCTACTCACCCCCATGTAATCCAAGATGTCCACGTCTTTCTTTCTTCAGTCGAAAAGAAATTAAGGTTTTTGATGAAAACATTCCAGGATTTTCTCCATATAATGGTTTTCTTAGGGAACCAAACGGTTCAAGGTCCAAATGAGAGTTTCAGTGCAAACTGTTCAAAGGGCATTAAACGACACCAGACGATGAATCTTATCTAGGACCCTTCGAGTCATGACTTGAAAAAAGATTTGTTCATTTTGATGAACGAGCTTGAACAGGAGAGTCACGAACGCGCATCACAGAACAGAGCAAGGGGACTATTTGAGCTTATAAAACTTAAACTTTTTAATTTATTTTATAAATGGCCGATCGTTTTGCTATATAAGACCCTTATTCATCGTCTGGTGTCATTTGAAGCTGCGCTGAAACTCTCATTTGGACCTTGAACCGCTTGCTTCCCATTGAAGTCCATTATATGGAGAAAATCCTGGAATGTTTTCATCAAAAACCTTAATTTCTTTTCGACTGAAGAAAGAAAGACGTGGACATCTTGGATGACATGGGGGTGAGTAAATTATCAGCAAAAGTCTTTTTTTTTTTTTTTAAAGTGAACTACTCCTTTAAGTCCCTAACAACATCTGAATGAGCTGAGGGGATTTCAAGAAACAATGGACCTGTTTCAATACAGATGTTAATACCAGGTGGAAAAGGAAACTAAGAAAATGTTGAGGATGACTGAGCCAAGTCTTAATTACTAGATTTTGGAAAGGATTGCAAGGAGATGCTTGTTTAGGCCTGAGAAATCCACTCAAGAGGAGAATGGCAGGAAGCTACATACTCACCGTTGGCTCTTCATCTCCATCTTCTGTGAAGAACCAATCATACTGTAGAAGAGAATTTCAGACAAAGTTCAGCAGAATTCAGACATCAATTTATAGAGATGAAAGGAAAATGGTCTTACTTGCTGAATGAGAGTCTCAACGATCTTGTACTGATCAGGCATGTGCGTGACCATGTGCGTCATGTTGTCTTCAGAGGTTCTGACAAGGGTTGGGCCAAACACGATGGCCAAGTTACGTGGCTCCATCTAATTAGATACAAAAAAAGCTTCCATAAAGAAAGCTTTCAATTCCTTTCTTTTCTATCTACAGGAGAAATTATCCAGTTTTAATAATCTGTTAAGAATTATATAATTTAATGAAAGTGATAATTTACAGTGAAGTAATATTAAACAAAACCGGCTTACGGTTTCCTGTCACAGGTTGTTCAATCCACCTAAACAGGGTAAATGAACTGAACATCTGCAAAGCTCATACCTTGTTTTTCTCACAGTTTTCAGAGACCGTTTTTAGATGTCCAGAGAGGTACTTAAGCGTTTCATAATGATGGTCTGGCAATTCATGTATCTGGGAGGAATAAACACAGTAAATATGATTTATTTTATTCTGTTTTATTACTGATTACAGGAATTATATTCCTCCAATCTAGTAAACATCAGTATTTAGCAAATCAACAGCAGTCTTCAGACAATCTGTACCAGTCTCTTCAGTGCTTTCAACCGCTCAACAGGGTTCTCCATTCGATTGGCATCAATAAAGTTGGAATATTTTTCTATGATGAGAGCAAAACAGGCATCATTAGAACACTCCTGAAGTCTATTAATCAGGTTCCTAAATTCAAAACGTTACTATAGCAAAGAAATACTTAAAAAAAATTACTATAGAACTTATTACTAACATTTTTTAACGACAGGCCTGCAAACATTTGAAAAAATTCCTAGATATTTTCAGGTTTTCCATGACTGACTACTCTCGTCCTCTAGGAGGAGTGCTTCCTCCACAAGTGGAGAAAATAGGGCTTAGATAAAAGTTTTTCTCTATTGGAGAGTGCACTTTTCCATGTGTTTTGTATAAAGCCGGATGAATCATCTATTCTATGCGATCACGGGTCTCACCATTAGTAAACAGAGGCTCAGGAAGTTTCCTGAAAAAGGACTTAAGCAAACTGCTGATCACATTGAGGTCTCGCCACTTCTGCTGAACAAAATAAAAGCATATAGATCAGGTCTGCCTTTATGGTACCACAGCTCATATATGATTATCACACAAGGCAAAGTGTTCACTCACGTCATCCTGGATATCAATGTCCGTCATGCCTTTGGTGTCTAGCTCCTCCTGCATGCTCGAGATGGCAGAGTTGTTTCCAGGGACTCTGTAAATGCCTGTGTACTCTAGCCCTCTCTCCTCCACCAGCTTACAACACACCTCCACGATCAAAGGTACAAACTGTAACACAGACCAAATTACATCTTATGAATGGTCAAAAAGGTAAGCCATATTTCACACTAAAAACAAAAAAAGAAAAAACCCAGGAAATCACATTTTGCATTAAGAAAATGAAACCTATTTTTTAGGGCCATCAAACGATTAATCACGATTAATCGCATCCAAAATAAAAGTTTGTGTTTACATAATATATGTGGGTGCACTGTGTATAATTATTTTTTTCGTATAAATATATATATTTATATATATAAATAAATAAATACACACACATGCATGTATATTTAAGAAAAAAATATTATTTATATATAAAATATTTATATATAATATAAATTATAATTCTATATACAGTATATACATGAAAATATTTCTTAAGTATATACAAGCATGTGTGTATTTATATATATATATATATATATAAAATAATTATACACAGTGCACCCATATATATTATGTAAACACAAACTTTTATTTTTGATGCGATTAATCTCGATTAATCGGTTCACAGCCCTACTATTTTTAGAACCCTTTACTGTTTTCCCATGACGACCTTGATTTTATGACAATTAAGTCAATTTACTAAAGAAAAACCCCTCCTCAATACAGTAATGTGAAAAAATGTATATTTTAACAATGAAGTAATGATTTAATAGTAAAATATTCCGATTTATTGTATTGATCATTAGAGCGGGAAATATGCTCGCAATGTCAATGCAAAAAATTTCAGACATCTCCAGGCGATGGTGTAGTGTGGGCAAATTTATTTTACTTCATGCAAAAATACAATTTCTTTTTTTGCCCCCATTTGCTTTTGAAGTGAAATGTAACCTTGACATGTTCGCGTGAGCTTCACCGGCAATAGATTAATTTGCTTGTCGCAAAACCACATTTGTGATATCTGGAATCTCTTACTCTGTTGTTTTGTGCAGGGGGGCAATTATCCAGTCGCATTCCAAACGTGACACCAGCAGCGGGTCTCTTATCTTGTGGCTTCTTCTTCAGGCCTGGGATTCCTCTCCTCCAAGCGGCTTTATCTCTCGGAGGACTGGAGTCATCTGAGACATATCGCTGACATCAATATTTCACTGAGATCAAATCACATTCAATGGGTTTCAGTGTCATTTCACAAAGCCACGTGTTACCTTTGCTCCTCTCCTGTTCGTTCCTGGGCGAGTAGGGGCTCTGACTCTTACTGCTGCCACCCAGCAGAGTGTGTCTAATGCTGAGAGACTGTCGTGAGGTCTTGGGTGACGGCTCAGTCTTACTGCTGGGTGCACTTTAACATATACACACATATTATTGGACACTGATCATAAGGCACGCTTAAAACAGCTCAACACATATGTGAAGAGGTAAGGTAAACGAATGGTGTAGCCCTCAAACCGTATTCACTTTATAGCCCTTAATCCTGTAATTGTGGACAAATGTGGGCACAGAGGACTCAGGGATGTGATCCTAATTTTTATTTATTATAAATTTTATATCACTGTCTTCGATAAAGTTTTGTTTTTATTTTTTTTTATTTTGGGGGTATTTTTGAATTTATTTACTTCAAAAAGAACCATATTTTCTATGTAAATTATTCTTATTTTTATGTTTTATTTTTTTAAACTACATTAAAATATCATTTCAATAGGTTCTTAAAGCTAAAACCTAAAGATGAAGTGACTTTGCTGTCACCTGGTGTCTTATTTTGGCTTATTTTAGAATGCTCTAAATTACAGTTTTTCCCATTCATTTCTATGGGTGCCCATTTTTGACTCAAATACAAGATTAAGGAGGGTTTTTTTCACCCACTTAACATTGTATAATTGAGTCAAAAAAATTGTGTGTGTTCAGGAGGCAAACTTATGAAAAGCAGCCAAGTCTTGTACCGCTCAGATCAAGGGAAGTATTTTTTACAAATAAATTAAAACTATTTTGCCCACATTTGTCCAGAATACGGTTTTAGGGTTACAAGGACTTCTTTACCTCATGGATATATACTCCTTAAGCTTTCTGTTGATCAAGTCAGTGCTGGTTACGGCAGCGTTCTGAAAATACAAGACAAAGAATCATTAACTATTTGGTAACATGCAAACCTCAGTCCGAGTAGAGCAACACAAATCTGATTGTGAGCATTAAAGAAAACCAGTTCCTCTAGTAAACACAGAAAGAGAACACCAACAAAAAGCCTACCCATAATCCTCACACCTTTAAGTAAAGAATTTCATCTCAACACCAGTGTTGTGCAAGTTACTTCCAAACTGTAATACATTAGGTATTACTTGTTACTGTTATTTAAAAGTAATTCATTACCTTACAATATTACTGTCCCAGAATTGTAATGCGTTACATTACTCATGTATTACTTTTGAGTTACTTTCACCAAAATAACTAAGTAGAACTTAACTTTTGGGCTGTAACGATATGCAATATGAAACCGAAATCGCGATTCACCACATCCGCGAACCTACAGAATCGTGACACACCTCTTCCAACTCCCAGCGTTATTCTCCTTACCGTCCATATCCAATGCTGCCTTATCTTTAAATTAGGCTATTAGTATTATTTGAAGTTAACATTATAAAATACGTAGACCTACACCACAAAACTAGTTCAGGGATAAATTATTTAAAATTGGGGAAGTCCAGCATTATGGACATTACATTTGCAGTCAAAACTTGAAATAAAAATTCTCAGAAAATTCATGTGTTGAAACGTACAGTATATAGGCTACTTCCTTAAAGGACTCCAGACATTAGACAAATATCAGTCTATGTTTTATTTTTAATATTAGGGAAAAGACAAAAAAAAAATAGGAGGCAAAATATATTTTTTGTAATTCTGTTAATTACACTGCGCAAATCGGATGAGGAAGGGTTGGCTCTCCAGTCTCCATAGAACTTAAAATATTCATTTTATTTTAGTTTTCGTGTTCGCATTTATGAGGAAAAAACAATGTTAGAGACGCGACCGCTCTGAACTGGCACTAAAAGACTGCTTTAAAACTTTCACATAGTCTGTTGCCTTTAAGAAGTAAAAGCAGACAATACACTGTAATACAACTGTAATACAAGCCTCACTGAACATGTAACGAGTAAAATATTACTGAAAATTGATTAGTAATGCCTTACACTACTGCGTTACAGCAAAAAGTAATATGTTACTGTAATGTATTACTTTTGTAATGCGTTACTCCCAACACTGCTCAACACTGATTTCAGCAGATGGCAAAGCACTGTTGTGTTAGCTTTTAGCTGGTTTTCAGATGACAAAGTTATGCAATACTACAATGTTTGAGCAGTCAGCTCAGAGGGGGCAGACACAGGCCACATGATGATATTAATCAGCTATGATGTTCCACTCATTTTTTTGTGAGGAGGAACATGAATTTTTAAATGTGTATTCAGACTGATGTGAAATGTGTTCTGAAAGGGTCAAGGATTGAGTGGTTTAGCATGATCCTGTTATCCCCTCCTGGTAGATGCTGTGAATACACAATTATGTGGGCAAAAAGCACCTTAATCCATTTATGGTCATTTGAAAGTAGCTGTGTATTCTGATCAAATAAATTGCAAGTAAAACTACGGATCACAAATATTGTACTGTATACGGCAGGTGCTTTTCCAGTGGACCACTTAGAGGCATAAAATAGATTTTTCCCTGCCGGCTGCCTTTGACGTCACAGCTCATGCATCAGCAGGAGTCACAAGTAGGCCAATTTGCCACCAGCCAATCCAGGTTTGTCAGGTTGTCATTTTCCTGCAGTTACAGTAATTAGTCACATGCCAGTTATGGCTCAAAACTCGGTGTGCCCACAACCAAATGGCCATTAGCAAAGATGACAACAGGCAATACTCTTTTTAAAACATCCAAACGTGGCATGTTTAGATGAGATTTTTCTCATTAGAGTGAAAAAAATGTGGCCATTGTGAGATTTTATTTTAATTTGTTGACCCTTTTTATACTTAGCCCTGTAGGTTTTTTATCAGCTTTGGAACTGCACACTTGACCATCTCTTTAAAGTTTAAAGGAGTAGTTCACTTTTAAAATAACTTGCTGATAATTTACTCACCCCCATGTCATCCAAGATATCCATGTCATTCTTTCTTCAGTCGAAAAGAAATTAAGGTTTTTGATGAAAACATTCCAGGATTTGTCTCCATATAATGGATTTCAATGGGAACCAAATGGTTCAAGGTACAAAAGAAAGTTTCAGTGCAAACTGCAAACTGTTCAAAGGGCTTTAAATGATTTCAGATGATGAATAAGGATCTTATCAAGTAAAACGATCGCTCATTTAACCCTCAGGTGCTCTTCGTTTCGGAGTCACACTTGTTATCTTCCCGGTCAAAAGTGACCGGACACCTAAAAATGAAACTTTCTCCATCCCAGTAAAACCAATGCAATTTATTTTTGTTCTATAATATTTATTCTTTTTAATTTAGTATTTTGAGAAAATTGAAATGAATTTATTAATATTTATGCAATATTTATGGTTTATTTTTGCCATGGAAAAATATATATTATTTTCTATATATATATATTATTTTTTTTCAAAAAAATATTAATGCAGTATTTTAGTTTAATATAGAGTCTAAGCCTTCAGAAAAAAAAATATTTTTTGAAGAAAAAAAAAGGCACCATCTGGTTACAGTATAGAGAAAAAGCGTAGAATCATGGTGTAACCTCTAGATGGCATGTACAGCTCTCTATTGAGAGGCATGTGAATTCCCCAGCTGTTTATGAACACATTTTTTTGTTGTTGTTGTTGTTGGAGGATTTGTATACAGTTGAAACAATCTCAAAAACTATTTCTTATAAAAAAAAATGACAAAAAACAAATATTCACAATTTTTTTTTTTTTTTTCATTTTTTTACAATTTCCCATTCATTTCCTATGGGGTCATTTTTGACCAAAGACCACAAGTTTGACTATTTTTTTAAGACCACTTAGCATGCTCAGATCATGACCTCAATTTTTTTTGTGTGTTCACATACATAATGCCATAAAAGTCACCAAGTTTCGTAACATCGCGATGAAGCTGTGATTTTTAAAAATTCAAAACATACTTTTTGTAATCAAAATGTATTGGTGTGTATGTGTATAAAAGTGTGTTTGTATGTGTATGTGTGTGTGTGTGTGTTGGTGGGTGTGTCTGTTTTGCACTCTAGATGTTGTAGAGTGTCACCCCTTTCTTGCGGTGTACTTTTTTTTAGAATTGTGGCCGATTTGTAGATTGTACATACAAAAATTCAGAGAATTTTTTTTGTGCGTCAAATTCCCATTCATTTCCTATGGGTTGTCATTTTTGACAGAAGAGCAAAAGTGTGACTCATTTTTTACGACCACTTAAATTGCTTGAATCATGACCTCAATTTTTGTGTGTGTTCACATACCCAATGCCATAAAAGTCACCAAGTTTCGTAATTTTCTGACGAAGCTGTGATTTTTAAATATTCAAAACAGATTTCTTTAATCACAATTTATTGGTGTTTTTGTGTATAAAAGTGTGTGTGTATGTGTGTGCGTAGGGGTGGGTATGTCTGTTTTGCACTCTTGATGTTTTAGAGTGTCACCCCTTCAATGCTGAGCACTTTTTTTCTGCATCGTGGCCGATTTGTAGATTGTACACACAAAAATTCTCAAAGTTTTTGGGTTTTTGTCAATTTCCCATTCATTTCCTATGGTCGGTCATTTTTGACCGAAGAGCACAAGTGTGACTATTTTTTTTACGACCACTTAGCCTGCTCGGATCATGACCTCAATTTTTTTTTTGTGTTCACATACCCAATGCCATAAAAGTCACTAAGTTTAGTAACATTCCGATGAAGCTGTGATTTTTAACATTTCAAAACAGAAAATTTTTTGGTGAGCACCTGAGGGTTAAAAAAATAAATAAATTGTTTTATAAGTTCAAATGGCCGCCTTGCTCTGTTCTGTGATGCGCATTCGTGACTCTCCTGTTCGAACTCGTTTATCAAAATGAACTCGTGTCATTTAGTTCATTCAGCGAACGAAATGAACGAGTTGACTCGGGAAAAGATTTGTTCATTTTGATGAGCGAGTTCGAACAGGAGAGTAACGAACGCGCATCACAGAACAGAGCAAGGCGACCATTTGAGCTAATAAAACTTAAACTTTGTTATTTTTTTTTTTTAAATGAGCGATCGTTTCGCTTGATAAGACCCTTATTCATCGTCTGAAATCGTTTAAAGCCCTGTGAACAGTTTGCAGTTTGTACTGAAACTGTCTTTTGGACCTTGAACCGTTTGGTTCCCATTGAAGTCCATTATATGGAGAAAAATCCTGGAATGTTTTCATCAAAAACCTTAATTTCTTTTCGAACAAAAATCAAGTGGTTGCAACAGACAAACTTTGTCTTACACAGTATAGAGGTGTCACTCCATAAATTAATGTCTAAAGTACCTCAGTTTTGACGCAAATACTAAAAAAACAGAGCGTATGTTTACAGCAAATGCCTAGCTTTTCAAAGTATACTATACTCCATTTGATAACAAAGACAAACACAGGTGCAGTGTCTGCCTTATTTCTCTCGGAAAGTTTCGACCAAAAAAAAAGTGTCTTTGTACTCTTTAAACTAGATCTGTGGGTGATTCTCTCACACAAGACCTCACCAATGCAGCTGCAGTGTGAAGGTAGTCAACAAGACCAAGCTATCATTGTCAACAAACCTCCTCGTCCAGGTTGCTGTTTTCTTGAATGACTCTTATCCAGGAAAGCATGTCCTCTCGGCCCTCTGCCTGAAACAGATACTCGCAGTCTGAAGTCGTTAGCCGTAGGACATTCTTGCGCTTTGTATCACTGTAGGAGATGTCAATCAAGCAGGCCTTGATGCTGATTGATTGAGGCTCATCCTCCAGTTGGGAGTTGACATGAGCAAGCCCCTCCTTTTTGTCCTTATAGAGGTATAAGGAGTGTCCACGCAGCACTGAATACATCTGTTTCCATGGCCGCATACCACCTCCTACTCGCTATAGATAGGAACAAATGTAAAAACTGGTTATGATCAGTAATCTAAAACAATCACAGTAAAACTATCATCATTCCATGGCACTATGGGAGATGAACATTGAAAGAGACCGAGAGATACTTTGTCCCACCTTGCCCTTCTCCGTGTTGAGCTGTCGGAAATGCAGCAAACCCTCCTTGGTGGAATCACTGAAGATCTCAGTGGACGAGTCTCTTCTGGAGCTGGAGTCATCAGATTTATGGCCATCAAGTGCCTATAAAACCAGAACAAACATGACATTTTAGTTTTTAGTATTGGTTAACTAATTATAATTCTTGCCCTTATTCCAAAACCTGGTGAGTTGCTTCTGATCAATACACAGGCAACTCCATTCTTAGGCTACCCCTAACTAAAATGGAACCAAGCAAGTGACTTATGTAGAGCGCTCTACATTAGGGATAAGTCATGATGATTGGACGTCAATTGGGTGTGACAGGGCTGCCATACCGTGGCTGGTCGGGTCAATGCAAAGTAATATATTTTTATTGAAGGATTAACGGTGTTATATTACTACACATAAAAGTGTCATATATCATTTGTAATTGTTTAATAAGAGGGAAAAGCAAGTAAATTAAAGCAATCTGTTTGTTATATTCGTGTGGCATGAGTTTAACAGCGCTGCAAATGTGTCTATTCATAACCTGATTTTGCAGAACTGAGTATTGGAGCCAATCAGAGGCATTTCTGTTGAAAATAGTGACCAATCAGTGGTGGTTGGTTAATTTACTGAAAGTGATCGGTGAATGAGTTTGTTTAACCCAAGTTTTATAAACACGCACGAATCCTTTCATTATAACAAACAAAGTGGAGACATGATGCAACTTTTTGACCTTTCCTACAAATATATACTTCACACTTCAGTACAAAAAGTGTTAATCTTATAATAGTGTTTTGATCATCTCTTAAAATAAAAATAAATAAACGTGAAACTATCTAATAGAGTGGAAGTGACTAATAAGCCAATAAGTGCATCTTTGCAGCCATCTACTGGCTATAATGGTAATTTCATGTATTTTTTTTATTTTAAAATAAAAGTGGTTTTCAGTAAGTGTGAGTTTTCCTACATCATGAAACTTTTCATTTTAAAACTTTGAAGGATTAACACTTTTTGTTTTGTTCATTACGTTAATTTTCAGACTTTTGAACTTTGATGTGCTGGAAAAAGTTGTGTGAAATTACTTGAAAGTCCTTGAAAAGCACTTGAAAAGTCTTTCATTCTTATAACAGTGGTTTATAACTATCGAATTTGCTGCTATGATCAAAGTTATATGTGATCCATCTTTGGACGAACCACACACACACGGGCGCTTCTTGTTAAGTCGAGGGAAGGGAGTAAGATTTGATGATGTCATCAGAGTTCATTATACCTTGGCTTTTGGTGAATTGCCGCCATTGCACCCAACACTACGATGACAAGCCCATGGACTGCACACAATCGCTGAGACTCTAGAGCAGTTACTTTAATGGGTCTGAATCTTTGTTCATCTTGGATAGACTTGTTAAAAAGCAGTTTGTCCCCACAAACGACACATGCGATAGTCTTAAATTTGGCTTAAAAAATGCATATTAGATTGAATTCTAGGTACAGCTTTAAAATGCTCTCTACATAGGCATCTCACTAGGTTTTGGAGCAAGGCCAACATCACCGTTATTAGTCAATGAGCGTTCTGGTTTAAAGAAAGCTGCCCTTTATGAGGGAGATTTGTAAGTGCATCTCTCACCTTCCTGAAAACACTTAGACTCGGTTTGCTGGATCGTCTGTGAAAATGAATGAATATGTTAGGCCAAACAACCATTCACAACTACAGTATTGGGAACCTCCAAATTTATGATCCGGCGCTTTTTTAAAGAAACTTACCCACGTCCTTCCTCCCGGTAGTTGTCCAGACCCTCATCGTATGATTTTGAGCGCTCTGTTTTGGTTCCTGATTGCAGAATGGCATTTCTGAGAGACTCTGCATGGATGTACACAGAAAAAAAATAAATAAAAGATCAGCAACATGTTCAACAAAATGCTCCCTGTGCCATTCGTATGGTGCTGTTAGATGGCAATAATTGTTCAAATAAATTGAAATCTACACAGAATTGCTTACCTTGGTCATGAGACATTTGCCGTCGCATGAGGGGACTAGGGGTGGTAGGGCTCGGGCTGTCAGAGATTGCAGCCTGAGCTCCAGAGATCACAGCCGATGCAGGAATGTGGTTGCCATCATGGTCTACACTAGGGCTGGCTGGCTCATCTGTAAACATAGTAACACAGCACCAAACATGTGAATAAAATAACCGTGCAAGCCTGTGTGTACATTTATGGAAATGCATACCAAAGAGGGCAAAAAAGCTCCAGCAATAAAGTTGAAAAAAAGATAAATAAAGGATAAAAGATTAAATAAAAGATAAATGAGTCCTACATACATATTCATGCCCTCGAATAATTCTCAAAATATTAAACTCAATTTTAAAACACAGAAATCATTAGTTTGACCACAACACTTTTATTAAGTAAACATAGGGCAAATTTTGGAAAGCTGGCAACTCACTTCAAAATATGTTACAGGTGTTTCTGTATATTTGTTTCTTTGATCACAGACTTTAATTGGTAATTTATGAGCATTCCTACTTGTTACTGGCCTGTTGTAATATCCCTTTTTTAATGTCATATTGCAATATCTTTTCAATTTGGCATGATAATGATAAACTAAAACTAACTTGAAGCAGATAGCCTCACGTTAGCCAACTATCAATAGATCACTGAGCAATGGCTAACTTAACTCTCATTTTCTTGCCATTGGGTAAATAAAAAAGTACCTGAGTCTGACCAAACCAGAAATGACCCAAACTTAATTGATTTTGTTTGATACTTTATTCTCGATACTTTATATAAAAAAATCTGAAATAGAATAAAAAGTGTCAATATTGTGTCATAAATGTAAGTACTTAGTAAGTAAGTAAATGTAAGTACTACATTTACAAAAATGTAAATGTAACTACTTAATATAACTAAAAAAAACAGCAGTCTTGGTCGTGTGATGTTGCTTAACAGTATAATATGTTATATAAATATGTATTAAAAACCGCAGTATCATGTTAACATCCAAGCGGCAACCTCCCCGTCTCTCTCTTGAAGCCAATACGGAAGTGAATTAAACTGCAATTTATCGAGTGGCCGCTTGAGGCAGGCTGCAGAAGCGAGTCAAATCTGTATCTCCCCCATGTTAAAATGCCCAACTTTACAGCAGAAAAAAACATGTTTACAGCCTGGAGCAAAAAGTGGCTTTGGTCTATAGAGCTCATTTTTCCCTTCATGACAACTGTGAGGGGGGTGAATGTTTTTACAACTCATCTGTTTAAATTATATTTAAGCCTTAAAGTTCTGCATAATTAAGGGCGTGGCCACTTGAGTGACAGGTGGATTCATGCTGCCGCTTTCACTGCTAGTCGTTTGTCTGCTGTCTGTTAGCGTCACCCTCAGCTGTGTTTCTGCTTTTCCGGGATTATTTCATACAATTTAATACATGTATTATACCTTCGCCCGTGCACGCCGTTGGATTCCGTCGTGTTGAGTATGGAGAGATCGACCAGCGCCGTGTTTCCAGCTGTTTCCCTCGCATGCACTAATGGATGTCTGATGATTTCAGTGCGTTCTCTCCGTCCATGCAATAGATGCACACCCAGACACCCTTGAATGAGCGCGGATTTCTAGTTCATTTACTTGAAGTTCTGAGGTAATATTTGGTTTGACCCATCTGAGAGGCGGCCAAAATCGGATTGTAAAATGGACTGAATTAAAGCTCTTTACGAACTTGACGTGAGATGCCGACTGACATGTGTGCTTGCCTTGAATCACTGTCGCATGCACAAGCTTAGAGCAATATTGTAAGTAATTAATACATTTTTAACTAGCAGAATAATAATGCATCACAATGCACATAGGTGACTGCTTGTATGTTGTGAGAAATGTGTGATCTGTGTTAATGTACTTGTATGCTCTTAACTAATTGCCCCTTGTGAGATTAATAAAGTTGATAAAAAAAAGTAAAGTAGTCTCACTTTTAGTTACGTCTTAACTATTATAATATTTCTAAGGGCAAAACATGAATTTAACCATTGGCTTTACTTTTTCAATCAGCTGTCAATTCAGCGGCAGTAGCATAGCATTAGCACCTCAGCTCCACCCGCGTCCCGCCTCTTTGCCCATTTTAATTTATCCGGTAGTGACGAGAGGTGACGCACTGCCAAGATGGCGACGGTCGGCCCCGCCTACTTTAGGCCTCAAAATCGCTCTTCAGAAACCTATGGGTGACGTCACGGACACTACGTCCATATTTTTTACAGTCTATGGTTAACATTCACATTTGTTCAGATTTCTCTGTGAGAGGATGTGTCAGCCTCAACAGCGCAACCTTTTTAACCGTCAATACATTGATTTGATCCACTATTAATCACCACTTACACTAAATGTAATAAAATCAGAATCATTTTTGGTAAGTTTTGGTAAGTTTTAATCAGGCTACTCCATTCTCTTTCACTTGCCCCTTCAAAAAAAATCCACTTGTCGCAGACAAGCGTTAGGAACGAGGACAGTTTTATTCATCTTACAATTTGACATGTCCTGTTTTTGAGAGCACTGAAAACTTTTGAGCTTCTCTGCAGGTCTCGGCCAAAAAAGGTTGGAGTACAAAGCTGTTCTGTGCTGCCAGAGGGCGGGAGCAGCTAAAATTAAAGTAACTGCCCTAGTTCCTGCATCCTCCAGCGTCTCAAAGAGGGCCAAGGGGAAGGTATGCAAAACACTCTTCATGCCTAGCCGAAGAACTCTAGCATAGTCTACAGATCGCTTCACTCCAAGACACGAGAATCTTAATGCTATCAGCAGTCACCTAGCTTCATTTAATGGGATGGTAGGCAGGGTTTTTTTTTGTGTGTGTTTGCATGAAATAGGTGGCAACCATCCTCAACTACATTCTTTTAGCAGATACTTCTTTCCAAAGCAACTTATAATGAAGAATCTGAGGTTTGGGCCTTGTCATGCCAATGGTTGATCAAGAAGTCAAACAAACTGAGCAATTTGTTGAAATGTTTACAACTCTTCAGGGTGTTAACCAGCAGAGGAGTGACTTAGTTATCTGTGCATATTAAGTTAAGACAGGAAAAAGTATACACATGCATCCACATGTCCAACCGTGTATTTCTATCCAAAACTGATTTACCAAACTTTATCACTTTAGTGGCTGCCCCCATTAAAGTAGACGATAAGAGGCTTAGTTGACGAAATTTTAATTAGTCAGTTAGTCACAGAAAAATAACTCCACAGGAAGTCACGGTACATTCATAATGGTACATGTTTACTGGTGCGGAGCATGTGTGTGTTCGTGCTCAACTGCCATGACAAATAAACAAAATAAATTAATTTACTAGAGGTTCTGGCTAAATGTTCATTGCTGCAGTCTATTTTAAAATGTCTCATTAATTTTAATGAATTGTTTTAAATAAATCCATTTGAATTAGAGCAAGACCGATATATCAGCCGGCCGATATTATCGGCCGATATTAGGCATTTTCCATAATATCGGTATCGGCAGTTATAAATGGCCGATAAATGAATATTTAAAAAAATAAATAAAAGGAAGACCGCTAACGTTAACATTAATGAGCTTGGAAACCACAATGAAATTTTTCTGCCTAAATAAAGTAATTATTACTGTATATATAACTAGCATATCTCTAGTTACAGTCCCTGCATTGTAAAATGTAAGTTATTTTTGCGAGGAGTGAACATTTAGACATAGAGAAAAAGTATCAAACGTATCTTGTGCAGAAAAGTTAGCTTTTCTTTTACACGTGTGTGAAATCCAACAATATTTAATAATAAAAAAAAAATATCGTCCGATATATCGAAATATCGGATTTTAAAACCCAAAAATATTTGTATCGGTATCGGCCTTCAAAATCCTTTATCGGTCGGGCTCTAATTTGAATGAATGATTTAATTACTCACTAAATATATCACTTGCAGCCAACACAGATTTGAATGTTTAGTGATTTTGTCAAAGGTTTAATAGACCGCAGAATCGTTGTCATTTAAGAATAAGATTGCATGGGTGTTTTTGAGATTGATATTTTTTAATGATTAATTGAGAAGCTCTAGATTGAACTTACCAACACTATTTTTCAACTGAAGTTTTGAGAGGGAGAGCAAAATTAGTCTAATAACGTGCTTTTTAGGAAATTCAATGGGGAAATGAAAAACACATTATAATTCTTGCAATATTCACAATGTTGGTAAAACTGTTTTGCCTGTAATATATGAATATTCTATATAATCTCGAGCACTAATGGGAATATCACACCATTAAAACTTAACACTTAAACCACTAATTATTTATTTACCTTCTCACTTTCACAATTCTCACCCAAATGTGTAAGCAATATGGAAAATAAGCAATAAAGATTTGACACCAAAAAAACAGTTACAGTGTATTCTTAATATCAAAAGGCTAGTGCAAAACACCAAAGCATCAAAGATGACTTGTGACAGAGTGCAGCTCGACTATCACTCAATATTCTAGACATATCCTCAAGCATTAGAGTACGAGGGAAGGCCACTTCCTCCCTGAACACCACCATGACTCACACACAGTAACTCTCACTCTATTTCAGTCACTCCCAAACACGCCTGGAACTGCACCTCCTGCAAAATCACCCTGACCCCTCAAGCTTTGAGAGTTTGATAACAAACCATACAAAGCTAAATTTGCCCATGATAATCCTCTGTCTGGACACCTGGGGTCAGGATTTGAAATTGTGATTATGAAAGTTCACAGATTGAGATCACATAAATGAGTGGAGCATTAACAACACAGAAAAGCACTGATCACAAAAATCGCATATAAAAAATGAACTGCAAAATACAGCAAAATCTACACATAATAAAATATCTGCTGTAGCTCTAAAACAATCCCTACTGCTGGCTCAAGAATGTTGCCAGGTTAGCGTTGCTATGGTTACAATGAGTGCACTTACCGATGAAGGGAATGGAGTCAAGTGATTCGTCCAGGTTACTGGAGCAGAAGGAGGAGTCAAGCCGCTCCCCTAGTCTCTGCAAGTGCATCTCCCGGCGCGCATCGTTGGGCAACCAGCAGACACCACCCCCTGTCGGCTCAGACACATCCGTGTCATTCACTGCAAGGATGTATGAGGGATGGCGAAGCGGTTGTGGGGTCCCCTTCCCTATTGGGGGCTTCTCCCGGAGGACTACGCCTTCTACTGAACTGGACCCGTTTACCGGTAAACCCTTGACATCCCGTGAATGAGTTCTCTGAGCTGATGCCTCACCCTGTGGCCTCTGAGGAGGGGGAGTCGAGTAAGATGCAGATCTATATCCCACTGGATTCTCCTTCCCAGTTTCTGGGATCTGCATGGTTTCAGCCCTAGTTCTTGATTGGTTTGAAGCAGAATTAGAAATACGATTTCCAACAACAGTTCCGCTTTGGTCTTTGGAAGGAGGCTCTTTGGCCTGGTTTACTCCATTACGAGGTCGCTCTGTAAAACCAGCAGTGGGTGGGATGTCCGTTCTGGAGCTGTGCCTAAGGGAGCCAGGAACACCCCTGATGTTCATACCATACCCTGTTGGGGGACGATAAAGGACCGCCCTTGGTGGGAGAGACTGTCTACTAGGACGACTCCTCTGGTCTACTCTGCCATACAGCGGCCTATCCACACCGGCCCACGGTGCGGCAGAAACTAGTTCATGTTCCACATAGTCTGACGAATGAATGCGGGGCTGCCGCATGAGGCCGTCAGAGGACACACTACGAGGAGGCCAGTCCCTGGCTTGGGCTGCTCTCTCCGCCCCACTCATCCTATCTTGTGAAGCGCTGCGTGGAGGAAGCACAGACGGGCCCTGGTAAGCCCGCTCATGAGACGTGCTTCTGCGGCGTAACTTATTGCCCCATCCAGGTTGGTGTCCACAGTGAGGGCCACCGTGGACACTTTGTGATGCAGTTCGCAGGCTGTCTAAACGCTCTTGAATAGTCCGACTGTAAGTGTGAAGACCTTTATTGTCGATATATTCCCGGTATGTCTGGTAAGTCCGCCAATCTATGTTCTGGTGGGTAGCAGGGGAGTTGATGGAGGAAGCAGGCACATAGTGTGTAGGTGGAATGGCATAATGATCACCATGGTAACCTGAAGGGAACATGTCAGCTTTGCGAGGGTGAAGGTATGGCGGACGACCACCAGACACTGTACCAGGCCTGGCTCTAATCAGCATTGGCTCTGGCCCTACTAGACCATAGTCCCCCCTATGACCGGGAACCATACGGCCCATGGGAACATCAGGAGGTAACACCACTGTCCGAACACTTTCATTGCACACACACACCGCAGTCTGTGTCTTTGGAATGGGTGGTGGAGGGGAGGGAGGTACTGATATCTCCACACGATATCCTAGATCAGATGGTCCAACCCCCGGGGCTAATGTCTCAGTGGCCTGGGCCATCCCCGGGGGCTTACAGTCTACTCGAGGGTAACATATAGGGGGTGGCTGCGGGATATGGCGGGCATTTCCACTGTATGCATCATGACCCTTAAGGTAGGCATCTTGGGAATAGGCCTGTGGAAGAAAGAATCAGGTACATTTTAATAGTATTCACAATATTAGAGAAAACTTGAAATTCATGATGATTTCTTACAAACAGTTCTTCTCTGTGTGGGTAGACAGCATTACATTTGCGTGTGGGAGTTTGACAGGTCAGAAGTGTGAGCTATACTCTGGTGTGCCAAGTGCTTGAGAATTCTACAATAATTATAATATCCAAAGCTGACAGTTCAGAACAAAAATACACCTTTAGAAATCAATTTGACTAAACTACAGTTTCTGTAAAAAAAACAGGTCTGATCTCAACTGGGAGACATCCGGTAATGTCTTCCCTTTAAATTTTATAATGCCGCTGGAAAGAAAGAAAAGCCTTCATTTCACACAAAGACATCTCTCCAAAAGAAGCACCAGGCAGCCTAAAATAATAACAATAAATAGCAATTCATAGTAACAAGAAAAGTGGTTACCCACCATTCGGGTCACCACACGTGAACGAAACGACACTGAAGCCAGAGGTGGACGATTGCCCTGGTTAGCAATGGCACTAAATCTGACCTCCGTAATCATGTTCAAATCCAGAGTTCAAGGTAAACTACTATCACAGGACTTCAGTTTGATGAACGTCAGATTGAAAACAAGTACCAGGCTCCATATTGTTTGTCTTGCTCGGATATATGTTGGCTTCCAAAACATCACGGCAAGTCACATGGAGTGGACTTTCAACCCATCATTCAGTTACATTCCTTTTGCATAACAATACAAACTCAATCTGATATCAGTAGTAGGGAACTTCGCCCCTCCTTTCATGCCATAGATGCCTTGTTACAAAGGCCAAAGTTCATAATAGGAAAAGAGAGAAATGAGAAAAAAGGGGCGAGGCATAGCAAATATGCTCGCTGGATATATCCGATAACTACCCACACGCCTAAATCAAACAGGTCACACAATCCATTCACAGCTGTGATGGAAGACATTCAACAAACTACACTGTACTATGCTACACATTATCAGAAACATCATGACAGTCGTCTGAAAACGACAAGGGACAGTAAATCAACAACCAACTACAATACAATGACATGCATGACATTTATAAATGAAAAAAAAACAACAATCAACATGAATGTAGCACGGATCTGCTTACCAGACTAGTGATTCCCTGCGAAAATCGCAGCCATTACATCACAAACCCCGGTAGGAAAAAGAGAGAGAGAAAGGGAGGAAAAGTAAAAGACCAACATACATTAAAGGTGGTCAAAACCAAAAGAATTAAGTCCAGGTATTGACAGCCACTATCACAGTAAATATCTCTGTACAGAGCGCAAAAAATGCACAGGAGCTGCAGTGCTGCCAGTGACGAGGGATCGTGGGAAGGTGCAGGGGTGCTGTGGGAAGACGGTCACGTTAGCGATGCCACCTGCTTGTCCTCGTCGCTCCCAATCGAGGTGGGGGCTGAGGTGCCTGCCTCGCGTAGTAGCGATCGGATCTCCATTTCTCCCCTCTCCATCCATCCGCAGGCAGATAACTCTGTGATTACACCCCTCTCCCAACCCTCCCTCCCTCCCAGCTGACGCGTCCACTTGCTCACTCCCTCCCTTACTCTCGCTGGAAAGATGTAACCATTCACATGTCGGAGGCAGATGCTTGATTATACATTCAGCTCAGATGGTACAGCTTCCCCCTCCCTCCCCCTTTTTCTCTCTCGTTGACTCGCGCCTATTTCTACAACACAGAGCAGTCAGCTGACTCCAGCTGATCTAATCATCTTTTCTGTCTCTTCCTGTCTCTGAAAAACCCATAAGCCACTGCCCACCGTAGCATCCTTTCACACCTCTTACGATCAACTCCGTCACTGTGACTAATGTCACCAGAGACCTTGAATGGATTATTCCTCCACCCAGCTGGAAACCCTGTTTAGCATTTCCTTGCTACATTGCTTCACGCAAGAGAAAAACACTGCCACTGCAACAGCTGTGCAGCAGAAAAGTATAGCATGGACATATAACAGAGGTGGTAATGGGAGAGATGAGGAAAATTATTGGAAACTTGTCAAGTACATGTCCGGGTCATATTTCACTCACAAAACAAGGTAAATAATATTTTGCTTGAAGAAAGCAAAACCTATTTTTAGGATAATTAATATATACATTTTATGACATATCCTTAAATCTGCTCATATTGTATTATGGTTATGAGAATCTAATGAGCTTCAACTGCTCTGGCAACGACAATTTGGGGATAAAATGATCAGTTTTGCATTTCAAAAAAATCTTAATATATGCAGTAGACTTCCTTTTTAATACCTTATTGTCTAAAAATAATAAAACAAAACAACATCAAATAGTTTGAAGTGTTATCCTAATCCCCAGTTTAACCATTGATAATCCCCAAACAGGAGTGCATCAAGTCAGATGTAGGCCCCTTACAGGAGTAGTTCACTTTCAAATGAAAATTAGCCCATGATTTACCCACCCTCAAGCCATCCTAGATGTATACGACTTTCTTCTTTCAGACGAATACACGGTTCTATTAAAAAATTATCAGAGTTATATTAAAAAATATCCTGGCTCTTCCAAGTTAGCTAGAATTTTACTTTGTGTAAGAAAAAATATTCATGTTTAACACGTTTCAAAGTAAAATTCTAGCATGTAGTCAACCGGCCATACACACTCTACTTGTGCCTAATGTGCAACTTTCGCAATGTATAACATCATAAGTAGCATAGTGCGTCACCAAAAAAATATAAATCCAACAAAATTCTCACATTTCATACTTAAAGGTGCTGTATGCAACGTTTAGCGACCTCTAGCGGTGATGTTTCCAAATGCAACAAGAGCGCTCATGCTCGTGCTCAATCTCAAGAGCGAGCAATCATTCACTACCAGCCACACGGAGACTTTCAACGCAACGCGAAATTATCACACATGCTGGAAACTAATGTAAACTCCCTCTGCAGGTACAATAATAGCCTACTTTTATCAGCTTGACGTTGAAGTAATGCTCTGTGCTCGTATCATGATCATAATGTTACAATAAACTGCATTTAGCCGACATGTGATGTTATATAGCATAAGCCATTTCTCTAACTATTCGTGTATCTTTCACAATCAGCAATGTCAACATAGGTAAATGTATAATATGATAATGAAAACGGTTAGTGAACTAAACTGAACAGTTTCAGTGTATCAGTAAGATCGTAGAAAGTAACAATACTGTACTGAACGTGTCTGGAAATGTGTATAAACAATATGGTAGTGGGATGACGACATTATTCAGTACATTAGATCTAGTAAATAAAATAAGTTACATACTAAATGTTATACTAATGTTATCCTGGAACATTATTTTGTATTCATGTAATGTTGTAGTTTACCTTGTTATTTCACTTGAGTTTACTATGTTGAGTCGATCAGATTCACGTTTTGCCTGACGAGCTTGAGCAGATAAAACTTTTTTGGTTTTTTATATTTCTGTGGAGTTTGTGCTGGAGGCAGGACGTTTTGGGGGGTTATCAGACTCCATGTCGTCAGCTGAAGTGCCGTTGTTCGCATGATAGACTGTAGGATAGAGAGGCTCGGGACTCGGGAGCGCGCATGCACGTCACTACTGATGGATTTCGCCGAAAATCCGACCCGGAGACGCATATAAATAAGAATATTGGCCTTCAGAGGTAATGGCAAAACCCGAAAAGTGGATCGTTGCAATGTGTGATTACAACCCCTTCAAACACAGGCAATAAAAAGGATTCATTTTATAAAAATAGTTACATATAGAACCTTTAAGATATTAACATATTATATGATATTATATGTTTTGAATGTTATAATGATAAAATATTATTTCATAAAGAAGTGTTTTTCTTCAGTAATTCAGATCATCACTGTGATTCCACTACACCCACATGAAACAGCAGAGGTGCTTTGAGAAATACCTTTGCCTGCTGACAGAGAGTTCAAACGATGCTTACAGCAGTAAATGGCAGGCATTAAAAGTTAATCTAAAGGGCAAACAAATGAGTGCAGGACTTCGTGTGCTCACTGAGCCAAGCGAAACTGTGGACAGAATTAGAAAGTACTGAACAGACTCAGAATGAAACAGAGAAACAGGACGTTGAGTGATTATTCACAGTAAATAGTTAGAACAATAGTCAATGATCCGAATGAACCTGGATGAGCCCTATGTTTCCATTCTATTCCAATGAAGATATCCTAAAAAAAACCCTGCATTTTATCCAAAAAATATGTGTTAAAAGTTCAACGTTTAAAGGCATCATTCAGCCAAAGGTTCATTATTTACAAAAAAAAAAATATATATATATCATAATTTAAAATGAGACTTTATGAGACTATATGAGTTTAAATTAAAATAAAGCTGCATCTTTTTGACTGGGCATTTCTCTAAAATCATCCACATTTCAATTATGGTTATATTACATTGTCTCACTGGTAATGGTATTTTGCTTTTCATTTCATGTTTCCTGGATTTTTGTTTTGTAAAGCACAATGGCTAACTTTTGTTGTGTTTATTCGTGCTATCTAAATAAAATAAATGAAATGACAATTTAGACCTGTATCTGCTAATCCTGAAAAGCACTGTGTTTATTTTATTTGTATTACTGTTTTGTGGTGGAGCAAGCGAAAATTTTGGTTGGGCAAGAAAAAAAAAAAGTGAACCACTGGCACAACCAGGCCATTAGAAAAAATCCTTAGCATTGAGCCCTGATACTGCACAGCAGTTCTGTATTAGATCTCTGTGTGAGAGAGAGCCCATGTGCCAGGCCCCAGCTGGCATCTCTCTCCCAACTGAACGGCTGCTTCAACACAAACAGCCTTTCATGAAGCGAGAGCTTCCACCCTGTCTCAGAGAACTTCACCTCTACAAATTCTGAATTTCTAAGAAAACAGAACATGTTCAAAAGTTCACAGCGTATATCAGAAATAAGTTTACGATTAATCCTACAGTCAATCTGGTACATATGATAAAACAACGGCACTATTCATGAGTCAGGAGACCCAGGAATGCAACACAGCATGAAAATTTGACTGTAATGGAGAGTGTCAAAGAGAATGCAGGGCAGATAAAGTGATGACTGCACTACAGTTATGTGTAATTGAGGACAGCTGTGATGGTGCGGCAGTTTAAGGCTCACTGGAAAACGACAGGCTGCAGTGTCCTGGTTAGCAGTCCCAGATATAGCAGCACCCTAAGGAGCGAGAGGAACCTGCCTCTTTCCTCTGAAATGGGTCAGAACCTTAATTTCCATGGGTGCGAACAGAACAAGTACAACTAAATGCAAACTTAAAATATAATGCATACAAAGACCTCATTAAAATGATGTATTCAGAAGATTCTGGACAGATTTATCTAAACGGACATGTTTTCAAACTAGACATGTTTCCAACAACAAAGTCAGAGCAGAAAATCTGAAAATAAAATTCTCTTAGGGCATATATAAATACAAAAAAAAAAAACAGTAAAATCTTACCAGCTGTAGTATATCTTCATCTTTTGGCATTACACACAACTCCAAAAATGTATGACTGAAAGTGGAGAAAATATATATTTAGGGCCACAATCATGACACATCTAATTGATTTATAACACACTCTTACCTATTCTGGATGAGCCCTATGACCTGGGAGTACGTCTTCCCAATGATGCTCTCGCTGTTCACTTTCACGATCCTGTCCCCTGTTGAGGTTTCATTTTCAGGTTTTAGAGGATCAGACATCGATAAGCATAACGAAACAGTGTGCTGGGGTAATTACCAGTGCAGAGTCCGGCGCTGTGAGCGGGCCCTCCCTCTTTGACCTGCTTCACAAAGATCGTGTCCATGGGCTCCAGTCTGTTCCGTGGTCTCCCTGGCAACAACAAAAGCAGCAGTGTCACGAGTGGCCCAGATCACAACAAACCAGTGCCAGGAAGAACCGAGCGGTCACAAGATGCCACAAAATAAGCATTTTAAAAATCACACCAACTCCGAAATAAAACGTTTAACCCATCCATGCCACGAAACGAAATGTTCAACCAATCCATGCCACGGAAATCTTGTGACTTCATCTAAAAATGACCCAGCATTCAATGTGACATCCCTCAGTCCCTTAGGGAAGCGCTATACTTGGCTTCATTCTGACATAATATGCCAAAACATAGATCACAGATCTAACAGTAAATAACTAACACTACAGATTCCCTGAGGTTGACAGCTACGAGACGCTAAGGCAGTGGCCCATGTTTATCTGCACTGAAGGAATGAGGATCTCTCCTCAACAGTTTGTTTTATATATTTAAATATATGCGTGTTAGTCTACTGGAATGGGAAATATACCTGTGGATTCCACAAAACATATGGACTGTCGGGTTGCTAAATCCCTTATTTGAGATCACAAAAATTATTCAACAGATGAGTAAACATAATATGTGCGTGCGTGCGTGTGTGTGTGTGTGTGTGAGTCTAATTTCAATGCTATGGCCTTCATATAGATATATAAAGATAGCCATCTTTAATTATGACAGTTTGGATTTATATAAAATGGTAAAACTTTTAACATTAAAATGTATTAGTAAATGTTGAAATGACAATTTTTTTTATAAATATCAGTTTAAGTTGTTTATTTTAGCATTAGATAATACACTATAAACTAACATGAATTATTGCATAATCAAGGTAAAAATATTATTTCTATATTTTAAGAAGTATTGTACATTTTCATGCTTCAGTACTGTTTTTTGGGGGGGGGGGGGTTGTAATAAAGTTCAGCACTATTTTATGTGTTGTGTTTGTTTTCACTCAGTATCTCTTTTAAAAACTGTTAGTTGATTAGGCTAATCAATTATCGGCCAACGTGGGCCAACCTAGGTATAGTTATTGGTCAAATCCAGTATTGGTTGTACCTCTATTCAGAAAAGAATAACTGAAAATACTTCTGGTTATTTCACTACATTGGAAATGGGAGGGCCAATTGAACACATTGCATTGGGGTCTCCAGAGTGTTCAATTGTTTACTGCACATTATGACAAAAAACTATGCACAGTACATATTTTAAATACTACAGAAACAATAAGTACAAATAGCAATGTGATCATTGCTGTACTGTCATACACTGTAGTTTTTAAATTTTAAAACTTACACATTTACCTCAGGAATATGAAGAAACAAACCCATTAATGCCATGTTTATTGCATTTTGCATGTAATTAAATAATAATAAACAGCATACTAACCCAAAAAATCGGGTCGTGTATCAGAAATTATAGAACATTCACAATAGAAATGTACCAATAATAATAAATGAAAGCCAGAGAAAACCATAAACCAATCCCCTCACATTTCCCTTCTAATGTGTTTGTGGGATAGATGCATGTCAGTTATGCAATCCATGCACTGGAGTTCAAGTTTCTTTCTGTCGTTGAGAACATGAAACAATGACTCACTCGTATACTGTCCAACGCAGATACACATACACAAACTATTCTATGTACATGTTGAGCACAAAAAAACAAACTAAAACCAGCAGAGAAATGCACAACTACAAATTCAGAGAAATAAAAACAGGCCTGAAAAAACACTCCTGGCTCTCACATAACATGCAAATTTAATATTTTACTATTACATATGCTAGTGTAAGTTCAGGTTGTTGTATTTTTTACTATGTTTTGCATACAGAACTAGATGCACCTTAAGGGATGTTATGTAAGCTAGTTTGGACTCTTCTAGGTAATGTAAATAAAGTTTCACAGGGCTATACACTAGTGCTCTGAACAATCTGTAGTGTAAAAAAATGTAATATATTATTTATAATTATATTAAATATGTTTATATTTCAGTTATGCTGCATTTGGTAGGTACAATATCATAAACCACACTACAGTTTCAGTTCCTGTTTCAATTTCATGCTTTTCAATGAGTGAGCTAAAAGCATACTGTGGAAGAGTTCAAATCCTTGTCAAATACTTGGCAGCTACAAAGTTATGCACACTGGCGAATTAAATACAGTTTGTGCTAAGGACATGAGAAGAGGTGTGATATTCTTTCATATAACTCTTTTGATATGAAAAACCTTGAAAAGATGCACCACAACAGGCAAAAGATAAATGACAAAGCATTAATAGACCTAAAGTATGAATGTCCTCCAAGTTGGCCATGATTTATAAGACCAATAATTTTCCGATATTAAAGAATTTTCCATTATCGGGCCTCGGTTTTGTACTATTGGATTCGCTGATAAATGCTGCCATCTTGTGGCCGTTTGGAGCAGCAAGACTGCCATTAAAACACTGAGTCTGAAGGGGAAAAGAGTCAACAATGGCATTCAAAGGTAAAAACTTACCTCTCTTATATAATACATTTGATTTAACATAACAGCCATTAATGTACAAAGGAAATATGTTACATAAATGCAACATATGTATATAAAAAATAGAGATAGAGTCAGATATAATACACCAAGTCATGTCCGAATAATTAAATTAAATAATATAGCCATGAATGAATGCATGTTGGAAAAAAATGCGCTGAACTTAATTTTCTCTCTGATGTCTGCTCATTATTGGCCTCATAAAGTCACATTCATACGGCTGTTTGGAAACTGGGTTGAGGCTCATGAATGCTCCAGCCACTATATGCAGGTTAACCAGATCCACTTGTTTAAAACTTCAAATGATATTAACATCTACTATATGAACTTTATTTAGCTAATAAACATCTAAATAATTTACAGCTATATATGTGGAAGTAAATTATCTCCGCAAAAGAAGTTCTGAATAAACACAGATAAAAACAGCGCTCTGTCAACAGGTATTTCATAACCTAGATTGACAAAAACATTGGTTTCTGATAACACACGCCAGACGAGATGCACTAGGTAAACTGCTATGCTTGTTTATTTTTCTGACAATGTATCCGGATATTAGCGGATATTCCAGCGCATTCCATTCTCTTCACTCTTTAGACTATTGAACACATAAACCTTTTAAAACTGTAGCTTATAACCATTTGATTATATTTTTTTTTGCAAAGCTGATAGACTCCTGTCATTTATTTGTTCTCTATTTAAAAGCATTAGACTTGGCAAATTTAGTTTGCCTAATGTTAATAATATTGTTGCTGTTGTTGAAAAAAGATGCACTTAGTAATTCTATTAGTTAAAATTGTTTCTACATGCTTTATTTGTTACCTGCTTGTTTACCTGATCAAAGATCTTATTTGAGAAAAATTATACTTCATTGAGTGCACTATATATACTGTATATATATTTATATATATTTTTTACTGCTGTTGTTACAAATAAAAAGATGCAACTGAGAGTACTAAGCTACACTAAAGTAGAAATGTTTGTTTTTTTTAATTCAAGAGGACTTGGAGGTTTTATGCTTTTTTTTGTTGTTGTTGTTAGAATTTTGTCTATGTTTGTATACCTGATGAAGTTTTTAGGTAAAAAAGATACTTTACCGACTGCACTTTATTTGCACTTTCTATTTAATGATGTAGAAGTGTGTTTTGTTTTGTATTCAAGGAGGGAGTGAAATTGCAGTTTTAAAATAGTTTCTTCAGTTCAGTGCTGATGTTATAACTGTCAAAAACAGAAATAAAACGATAAACAAATATAACACGCAAATAATCAGTATCGGTTATGAAAATATTGGTCAATCTCTAATTTCGACGATCATTCCTGAACCATCATGTCCTGCACCTGGCATATTTCTACATTCTTCCACTATCCATCAATAAAACAACATTTCCCAACAGATGTTTTTTTTTCCTTCACATATTCTTCATTCTTTATCAAGAATACGGCTGACCTTGCTTTGACCATTATGGTCCAGTATGTGTGGTTTGTTGAAATGCCACAAGCATTACAACCTTAATATGATTTAGAACAAACAAATCTATGGAGGTCACAGTTTGTTATCTGCACTGTAAAGAAGTCGAACAGAAGGACTCAATGTGGGGATTCTGAAGCAGATTTAGAAGCCTGTATTGCTATAGCGATGTTTAGAGAGGAGGTTTTAGCCACCCAAAGCACCAGAAGTGTTGTTCAAATGTTAAAGTTTATAAAAAATTATAATAAAAATCAACTTTTAAAATGTGTCTTAAATCTCTTTGGCATTTTGCATTTTGTTAAGCTCTTTTTGAATGCAAGAACAATATGTTCTGACAACCCATCGTCTAGCTAAATTTGAAAACAGGCTTTGCATATCGGCAGAAACTACAGGAAAAACAGATCAAACATACTTTTAACAGTCAAGCTCTTTTGCAACAAAATTATGCATTCTTAAAAAAAAAAAAAAAAAAACACCTAAGGTCAAAAGTTAAAACAGAAAAGGGGGAGAGGTTGAGCAGGGGAAAGAATTCAGTGAGTTATTTCTGGCAGCTTTTCCTTAGAAAAGTTACATTTTTGTAATAAGCTTTGAAATAACCGATCGTTTCGCATGATAAGACCCTTATTCATCGTCTGGTGTCGTTTAAAGACATTTGAAGCTGCATCTGAAACTGTTATTAACTGTCGTTTGGACCTCGGTTGGACCTGGTTCCCATGGAAGTCCATTATAAGGAGAAAAATCCTGGAATGTTTTCATCAAAAACCTTAATTTCTTTTCGACTGAGGAAAGACATGGACATCTTGGATGACATGGGGGTGAGTAAATTATCAGCAAAAGTTTTTTCAAAAGTGAACTAATCCTTTAAATGTTTTACATCTTCAACAGAATTTATGGAGGGGGGGGGGCATTTTATAGGAATGAAATTTAAAAAAAATATATATTAAATGGTTGTTTTTATGAATTCAATCAAGTAGCTAGTAGCCTACTATTTCCAGGTATATATTACAGTGCATACATGACCAAACGCGACCAAGGCAGCTCAGGCATAATGTCACTAACACTTCTACTGTATAAATGACTTACAGTTTCTTGAGTTTTTTTGGAAAACATTCCTAAAGTACCAAAAAAGGTACCAAATTTCACGTACCGGTACTGGTACCGGTTAAAATTTAAACCGTGCCAAACCCTACTTTAAATACCCAGATAATGCACTTGATTAACCTAAAAAACTGTGGAATGTTGAACACTTCATGCACTTAACTGTCACAGCTTTCCTTTCGTAGCAGGGTTGGGGGATATCAGACACTGATGCAGACGACAAAAAAAAATTCTAAAATTCATACACTTGATGGTAAAGTGCTTAGTGCACAGTATAAGTGCATAGTGTTTAATAAGTTATCTGGGACAAAACTATAGATTACATTGTTGTCACTAAAAGCGATAACTTACCTCTATGACCATGGTCTTCATCCTATAAGAAACAAAACAAAAAATTTGATTATTCTGTATATTGAAAAATATACAAATACTATGCTATGAAACTCCTGTGAATGAACGACGAACACTACCTTAAAATTGGAGTGCACTGCAGACTCTGGTGGGTACACAATGAAGTGACGCAGAGTGAAACCGAAGCCTTGTGAAGTGCGACGCAGACGAATCGTCTTAGGCCCTGGCCAGGAAAATGGCTCTTCCTCCAGCTGGAAGAGCACTCCTGAAGAATCATCCTGATCCACCACATCCTACACAGAGAGAAACACATGGAATCATGAGGTAGCAGATCTAGATTTCTGCAAACTAAAAAATAAATCAATGGGAAATGCTTCATTTTAAATCATCACACATATGATAAAAGTCCTCACTATTATAAAATGGATTTGGGGTTCAAGGGAGACAGGATCTGATCAAACTGTCCAGATCGTGACACATTGCCACTGGCATTCACACCAGTGAATCACTTTTGTGAGCAAGATATCACTGAAAGAGAGCTCTTCCTTTCATAAGCAGAAGAACAACCACATCTTGGAGAAACAGCAAATCTGTTGCGCATATGGTAAAAATGAAAAGAGAAATTCAATTTTATTGTCAAATTTTATAAAATTAATGACGAATTCATTTAATGATGAAAATAAATGAATCAGAACTGCTATGACATGATCATCCTTGACATTTTCCTCTTCATAAGGAGGTACGCCCACTGAAGGTTGAGTCAGGACTGGCTTGATGTCATGTCTGGAGGGTGTGGGTGATGTTTTATGTTTCATCTGAAGTTAATGTTCCTTTGTGGAGCATATTTAAGGATAATAGACAAAATACGCCAATTCCCCCATAGGAAGATTCACTGTTCAAATTTGTTTTGCTGGCATTAATATCGATAAATCTGTCACTGAGGACAAAAACTTTGTGGTAACCTGTTTTTCTGAACTCTTTTTCAATTATTTTACTTACTTTAATAAGGCTCAAGTTGTGTGATTTGCTTATGTTGAGGTCTGAAGCCTTGAGCTTTATCTGAATCTCCATGCCTACCAATTTCAGAGTGGGCAATTCTGCTTCTGGCACGAACTGCTCTGTTTATTGAGTATTTATAGTCTCACACCTACCCAATATTCACGCCCTACCTTTTACAGCCAAACCACCTCCAGCAGAGGTGTGAGAAATCAAATATTCCCCCTCCATAAACAAAATCTAACATCTGAAACTAGCGATGTTCACAAAAGTGTGACTCTAGTTTGAAGTAGAAACCATCCGATTATATGGAATACATATTTTGTTGTTTAGTTGTCTTGTAACCAATATGCAGTGAGATTTTTTCTTTTTGACAGTAATTAGATTATAGAAAAATATCAATAACACCCTAATCAAAATGACAAAAACAGTCAATTGTCAAAATCTTTATTCAGTATTCAACAATGTATTTAACTTACAATCTGCAATGGAGTGAAAAAAATATGCTCAAATTCTCAATTTAATGTCAAATAAATGTACATAAGTTTATAAATCTGCAATTTTCAGAATCTAAATGGAAGTAGTAAAACACTCACGGACACAGCTAAAAAACATCTGGGTCATGTTTGCATTTATTTCTGTCATTGGCCATAATTCTATTCTAATCTTTATTTAACATCTTACTTTTAGGGATTTAGGGCAGGTTGGAGGTTATTTATGATGATTTTAAAGAAGATTCTTTTCAGGAATATGAATACTTCTTAAATTATGTTGTAAGAACATTCTTTAAAAAAAAGATTGGGACATTGTTAAGAAAAGTTTAAGAACATGAAATAATCTTCTCTTTTTTATTGTTATAAAATAAGATGACAGATTATGGTGTTTCTCTCTCTCCATTGTGAAGTGAACTTTCATAAAGGAACAAGCGACGTTGCCCAAAAGTTCATCGGCGATCCCATGTGCAGCACTGAGAAAAAACATCTGCTGATGTTTGCAAGACGTCTGCAGTGGAAAGGAGGCCTGCAAATTCATTATCCCTCTCTTGACTAGTTGATGAGGTCACTATTGGAAAGAAATGGAAGCAGCATCCTAAGCTTTTGTCAGGTGTGTGTTAGGGAACACTGACTCAACAGTGAGAAGGCTATAGGGCTTTGGTCTATTTTGGTCTACAACACACAAGTGGTCTTAAGGTTCCTTGAGTGGCTGGAATATATTCAGAGGGTGCTAAATTCTGATTTGAGCGGCCGAGTCTTTGAGGAACGAGTTCATAAGTGTGAAACACAGCAAGTGGACATGAAATCTGAGAGCCTGTGTGAACTTGTGGAGCAGGTTTCTGTCGAGAGCTGTGACAAGTTCCAGAATATTACGCTCATTATTTAAACTGCTGAGCAGTAGTAAAGCTGACTGCAGGATGCTAACAGTGTGCTGTAAAACAGTTAGTGCTGTATACTAGAACAATTCCAGACATTGATGTAATGGGTAAAACATAAGCTGATTTGCAAAGCTTAGGTTTATTAAACTCTAACTATTAGAACTCTCTTATTAGCCATAATGTCAGCAATGGTATCAGATCACGCCATAGTATTTTATCACAAATCTTTAGGGCCCTTTATATGACTAAATGGTGATGGTTTCTACTTTTCTTATTTGTAAAAAAATATATATATATATATTTATTTTAAATTGTGATTTCACATCCTGCCCAATGTTGTCCTAAAAAAAATCTGATGAGTCTCGATTTCTGTTGAGACATTCAGATGGTAGAGTCAGAATTTGGCGTAAACAGAATGAGAACATGGATCCATCATGGCTTGTTACCACTGTGCAGGCTGGTGGTGGTGGTGTAATGGTGTGAGGGATGTTTTCTTGGCACACTTTAGGCCCCTTAGTGCCAATTGGGCATCGTTTAAATACCACGCCCTGCCTGAGCATTGTTTCTGACCATGTTCTTCCCTTTATGGCCACCAGGTACTCATCCTCTGATGGATACTTCCAGCAGGATAATGCACCATGTCACAAAGCTCAAATTATTTCAAAATGGTTTCTTGAACATGACTGTACTAAAATGGCCCCCACAGTCACCAGATCTCAACCCAATAGAGCATCTTTGGCATGTGGTAGAAAGGGAGATTCGTGCCCTGGATGTGCATCCACAAATCTCCATCAACTGCAAGATGCTATCCTATCAATATGGGCCAACATTTCTAAAGAATGCTTTCAGCACCTTGTTGAATCAATGCCACGAAGAATTAAGGCAGTTCTGGAGGCAAAAGGGGGATCAAACACAGTATTAGTATGGCGTTCCTAATAATCCTTTAGGTGAGTGTAGTCTATACATATATATATACAAGACAGATATATCATACAAACTCAATATACCACCCCAGCCCTAATATAGGCAAAATTATCATCTGAGCTTGTCCATCAGCCCACCTTACACAATGCCCAGAAAGTGTGGCACATGCTAAACACTCGATGAACGGTGGAAACATTATTTTGGCAACACATCAGTCATACTGTGCTGCACAGCTGGGCAGGATCCATTCACAGCGCGTCACCAAGAAAAACTACAGAATGGCAACACAAAATAGCATTAATTATTAATTATTTCACACCCACATGTATATCCTGGCTCATGCCCTCAGAGCAAACTGAAACACACAATTTTTCGACCATGGAAATGAATGTTCAGAACCAGTGTATGTAGATTTAGGCAAAATTACCAGTGTCTCTTTCACGTGAGATCACAATCCCAACCGGATGCAAATCAGGAATAGTGCTCAGTCATGCAGAATGGATGTGGTGATTTTGCTCTAGGACAGAGGCAAGGCTTAGGTAATCCAAACAGATGGACAGGGAGCAGCTTCAGCACACATAGTCCCACACTTTATGGTATGGTGACAGACTAAACCAATAAATACTCTACTAACACCTCCATGTGCAAAAAAACCCATAATCAAATTGCCACAGCTCAGCCTTCTATGGAAATGCTCCCTAAAAGGGAACAGAGAGAGTTCATGAAGGTGAACGGAGTCCTGCTGCATTTTGTATAGGCTATATTTTGTTTCAGCTAGTATTTAATTCTCTTACCCTGAGAAAAACGTTGGATTACACAACAAACTTTTAAAAAAAAAAACTAAGTGCCTTCACTCAATTGATAATGGTTAATAATAATTAATAATTGGTGCCAATACAACTCAAGGGGTAAAACTCAACATTGTAGCTATTGACAAAATATTATCATTGACAAGATCACCAATAAAATATTGAGATTTTTTTGTTAACATTGCACATCCTAATACATAAAGTATGGCCCATTTATTACTTGATTAAACCTGTCCTGGAGGCCCCCAACACTATTGTGGATGTCTCCCTTTTATGCAGCTCATCAGTATAGCTTTAGGTAGCCAGTAATGATTATATATATATATATATATATATATATATATGCTGATAATTATTTTGATAAGTCTAACAACTATTCTCCTACCAAAAATCCATGAATTATGTTCTTATTAACTAATTAATCCATAGCATATATTCAATATTAATAATATTAATCCCACTTTTTTTGCTACATAACAATACCATGGTCCAGTTAGTGTTACTACATGAAATACATGGTAAATAAATAAATGGAGATTGAAAAGCCTTCTGACTGTTTCGTTGCGCACATCGTTTCTCCTGGTTGTCAGCACCGTTTCATCTGGCTTTAAACTATTTAAATCACAGAGACATTTGTGTTCTTTGCTGATTTCAAGCCCTTCTCACTGGATCTCACAGTGCTGTTTAGTGGTTGCGTGACAGAGACCGATCAGCGAGTAAACGCATCTTCTACAGTAAGCTTGCGTGCGCTGCCGTTTGAGCTTTGAGTCGAGCGAATAAATGATCTGCGTGACAAGGTTCAAATGAGTAGTGCTTTTTCATTTTTTGCTTTTGGTGCATAAACATTATATCGAACTCTTGTTATCGTTTTATCGAGGAAAATGATATCGCGAATGCGATAATTATTGTTAATTGTTTTATCGCCCAGCCATACAACTGCTAGTGAAGAACAGAGCAATGCATTGTCACACTTGACACAAATCCATACATTTACATAATAAACTTTGTCGATTGCGCTGATGTGTCTTTCCTGCCCTACCGGACTGCATTCATTATTGATGAACATTAAAAAACAGCAGTAGTATAAAATGGCAGTTATATTAAGCCACATTCTACAGACACTACTGTACACACAACATCCTTTTGTTCTGGATGAGTGTGGAGCAGCAGTTCTTTTATGCAGGTTATGCAG